GGGAGAAGCAGACTCCCCGCCTAGCAGGGAGCCCGATGGGGGACTCGATCCAGGGACTCCAGGATTATGACCCGAGCTGAAGGCAGTCGCTTAACCAACTGAGCCACCCAGGCACCCCCAGGTGCCCAGAGTTTACCCTTTCTTATATCTCTAGGGTCCAGTCCTCTATTGAACTTCATGATTTCATCTCCAAAGGTAGCTAGATCATCTCTTTTCCTCTCTCTCCTACTCCCATCCTGGTGCAGTCCACTGTCCCTACTCACCTGGGCCACGACTGTTCCGGTCTATCTCTAGCCTGTTATCCTCATGGCAACCAGAGTGAGCCATTCAACCTAAATCAAACCATCCTGCTCCACCAGCTGAAAATGCTTCGATGACTCCTTGTTGCAGTTAGAATAAAAGCCATAATGACTCCCTGGCTTCATCTGCCCCTGTGCACCTCCTCCCACTCAACTTGTGCCCCTTATGGTTTTGCTGACAAAGCACCAGCACTGGCTTTCTTGCAGTCCTTGAACACACGTTTTTTTGCTTTGCAGATGTTGTCCCCTCTCTCCAGAAAGCTCTTTCCCTGACTCCCTGAGGAGCTGGCACCCTCTCAGCCATCTGGTCTCAGCTTGAATGTCTCTCAAGGAGACTTTCCCTGACCAACCAATCTGAGAAGGTGCCCATTCATCCCCCAGTTATTCTCTATTTCAGATTACTTCTTCCTTGGGGCACTCATTGTTGTGATTGCTTTCTTCCCTGGGTGTCTTCTTTTAGAAGATCTCTCCTGTACTGGTCTGTAAGATCCGTGAGGGGAGGCGGTTGTGTCCACCCTGTTCATGGTGGTTTCCCCAGCACCTAGCCCAATGCCTGCAATCAATAAATAATACAGGAATCGAGTAAGAAGGAAGGAAGGTAGACCCCCAGGCATGAGTATAACTGAGGTTGTTTATTGATGAAAGGTGTTGGGTGTCTGGGCTGCTCCCAGAAAGGGGTCCGGCTTGTAAAGACTGAGTGTAGGGACTTGGGCAGCAGGAGAGAGGCCAACTATACGAACTGACTCCATGGGGTGGCTGGCTGGAAGCACCAAGACACCTGTGACTGCATGGAACACTGGATGTTATACGCAAACAATGAATCATGGAACACTACATCAAAAGCTAATGATATAATGTATGGTGATTAATATAACACAATAATTTTTTTAAAAAGTGAAAAAAAACCCCAAAACTTGACCAGTGGAGGGTTTGTTATTTTTAGATTTGAAAAGTGGGGAAACTGACGCCTAGAACAATTCAATAAATTAATTGAGGCCCATCTAGTAGTGGACCCAGGAACAATCTGAGGTCATTCATCCTCTCCTCCAGCAGTGTATCCTAGATGAGGACTGCAAATGGAGACATTTGTTTTACAACTACCAACTATGAGACTAGAAGCACTTTTCTTGAAATTTGTTTTAAGGTAATGAGCTCCCCATCAGAGAGACGATACAAAGACAAGACAAAGTGTTCTCTGGACAGGGATGCTAAAATTCCAGTTCCTCCATTTAGAGGGTGTGGAGGGGGTAGATAGGCTTGTTTGAATCTAGAATCCTATCATCTCTGAGTCAGTGGTGCTAGGAGTTTGGTCAAAGAGAGCATGAGCTGAGGTGATCTATGGTTTGGGACATCCAAACTCATCCTATCCATCTTAAATAGGGAGGGAGGGGGCAGGGGGAAGCGACAAAGTGGAAGAAGAGGGAAGGAGAATCTGGCTTACTCCTTGTAAACAAGACTCATTTCCCAAGACCCTTGTTCATTGGAGTGATTACTCATGTTTGTCAGAAGAAGCTGCCTTGGGATTGCTTCCCTGAGGCCTCCCCAAAATTAACAAATAGGCCTGACACAGTCCTGACTCAGCCACTTCCTTCCTGAACTCGGGGCTCAGGCAGTGGCTCTCGGGCCCCCCAGCTTTGCTGGGGTGCCCACAGCCTTATAGTTGGTCTCCTCTGCTAGGGGATCAAAGATCCAGGCACCAGCTCCCCTGCTTTTCACCTTTACCTTGTTCCAGCCCCGAGTCCCACAGTCTTACTTAAGATCCTTTATGTCCTGACTGTGAATTTTCGTTGAATGGAGGAGAAAAGTGGAGGCAACAGAATGAGTGAGCTCTAACACCAGCACCGAGCAGTGAGTAAGTTTTGGATGTCACAGCCTCTCTCTCTCTTCCTTCCTTCCCTTATCTCTTTTCTTCTCCATTTGCTAAATCACACAAACATACTCACATACTTTGAAAATTCTTTATATAATCTAACACTTTAGTATTTAAAGGTAAATAACAATGCCTCCAATCTTTATAACGCTCTCCAGTTTTCCAAGTGCTGTCACATGCTCTGTTGCATGTGATTCTCAAACCTGCAAGAAAGGCTTCCTGCGTGGGATAAGGAGGCTCAGGGAGGTTGCACGCCCTCCTCAAGGTCCTGCAGTTAGGGAGCAACACAGGAGGGACCAAAGGACAGTTTTCCAACATCAAGTGTGGAATACTTTTCCTACACTCTCTGCCCTAACTACAGAGGGGTTTGTGTCTCTAAGGCCATCTGACCACACAAGTGTTCAGAACCCATTGAGTCTTTCAGACTCAGAACAGCATTTCTGCACAGTGAGAATCACCAGGTGACTGCTAAAAGGACTTGGTCCTCAGCACAGAGCCACTGAATCATCTCAAGGAAGGGGACCAGAGCATCTTTTAAAAATCTGCATCACATGGGCTCCTGGGTGGCCCAGTCATTAAGCGTCTGCCTTCAGCTCAGGTCATGATCCCAGGGTCCTGGGATCGAGCCCTGCATTGGGCTACCTGCTCTGCGGGAAGCCTGTTTCTCCGTCTCCCGCTCCCCCTGCTTGTGTTCCTGCTCTTGCTATGTCCCTCTCCCTGTCAAATAAATAAATAAAATCTTTAAAAAAAATCTGCATCACAGGTGATTTTGATGGACACCAAGATGTGGGGGACACTTGCCTTGAGGGCTAGAAAGCAGATGGGCCAATGTCCCTGAAACGTCCTCTGGCTTTCCCCAACCTTGTTACCTGCCTCTGACACTCGCTCCTGTGAAGGAGGAGTCCCAGCCCTCTCCCCCACCCCCACCCCCCAGTCCAGGCACCCGGATGGCTGGGGAGGGGGCTGAGCCAGCGCTAAGCACTTGCCACGCATTTCCCCGTTCCTCCTCCTCACACTCCCAACACGGGGCAGGCATCTCTAGCTCAAGTCAAAACTGCACGTTTTCTATTTTATTGTGTAAGAACGAACTGGAATTTTGATTCAGCAATTATTATAAACATCTTTCCACATACAAATGAGGAAAAATTTTAACATCATTTATGATGTTCCTAATCTCTGATTTAATGGACTACATAATTTTTTAAAAGAGCTTTATTGAGATATATACCATTGTGAATACATGTATACCGTGTATACCACCAATACCATTAAAATTAACCCATTGAAAGTATACAACTCAATGGTTTCAATATGCTCACAGAATTGCACAAATGTCACCACAATCTAATTTTAGAACATTTTCGTGACTCCCAAAAGAAGTCCCGGGCTCATTAACAGTCTCCTTTGCCCTTCCCACAGCTCCTGGCAACCAGAGTTGACTTAATGTCTCTATGGATTTGCCTATTCTGTAATTTTTTAAGCAAAGTGTCTACTGTTGAATGTTTATGTTGTTTCTACATTTTTACTATTATTAACAAGGCTCTCATAAACATATATACATTTTTTATATTGCCTGATAATATCTTTTTTAAGATAAATTTCTAGAACTAAAAATTGCTTAATCAAAACCATGTCCTTTTGTTTGTTTCCAAAGTCACAAAATGACATTGTTGAGTATAGTAAGATGATAGAATTTTAAATAAGACATAGACATTATTCCTGTAATATTGAGTATGCCAGATTAGATGTTGCTGGAATGACTGAGTTGCATAAGGATTTTCCAAGTTATTAGTTTCTTGTTAACTTAAGATATTATATTTTTAATTTTTGTAGGAGCCTCCATACTGTTTTCCACAGTGGCTACACCAGTTTGCATTCCCACAAGAGTTCCCTTTTCTCCACATTCCTGTCAACACTTCTTGTCTCTTGTCTTTTTAAAAAAGATTTATTTAGGGCGCCTGGGTGGCTCAGTTGGTTAAGCGACTGCCTTCGGCTCAGGTCATGATCCTGGAGTCCCGGGATCGAGTCCCGCATCGGTCTCCCTGCTTGGCGGGGAGTCTGCTTCTCCCTCTGACCCTCCTCCCTCTCATGCTCTCTGTCTCTCATTCTCTCTCTCTCAAATAAATAAAAATAAAATCTTTAAAAAAAAAAGATTTATTTATATATCTTAGAGAGAGAGAGCGAGCACAAATGGGAGGGGCAGAGGGAGAGGGAGAAAGAATCTAAAGCAGACTCCACACTGAGAAACAAACAAAAAAAACAAACAGACATTTAAATACAGAGAGCAAACTGGTGGTTGCCAGAGCGGAGGTGGGTGGGACCTTGATTAAGAACTATCAACTTCCATTTATAAAATAAGCCGCAGAAATGAGAAGTACAGTATAGGGAATATAGCCAATAATATTGTAATAACATTGTATAGTGACAGATGGTGATTACATATACTGTGGTAAGCATTGCATAATGCACAGAATTGCCAAATCACTGTTGTATACCTGAAACTAATATAACATTGTATATCAATTATACTTTGATAATAACATTTTTTTTTTAAAGATTTTATTTATTTGACAGAGAGAGACACAGCGAGAGAGGGAACACAAGCAGGGGGAGTGGGAGAGGGAGAAGCAGGCTTCCCGCGGAGCAGGGAGCCCGACGCGGGGTTCAATCCCAGGACCCTGGGATCATGACCCGAGCCGAAGGCAGACGCCCAACGACTGAGCCACCCAGGCGCCCCTTGATAATAACATTTTTAAATTGTAAAATTTAGTCAGATATTTTAATGCCAAGAAAACAGTTAATTGTGCTTATATGAATGTCTTTGTTCAATTGAGGACACTTAATAAACAAACATTTGTTGGTGCCTATGTTGCAGACAGTTGGGGAAATGGATGGAAGCAATCACAGTGGCATCTCTGAGTTCCTGCTCCTGGGGCTCTCAGAGAGTCCTGAGCAGCAGCGGGTCCTGTTCTGGATGTTCCTGTCCATGTACCTGGTCACAGTGGTGGGAAATGTGCTCATCATCCTGGCCATCAGCTTTGATCCCCGCATGCACACTCCCATGTACTTCTTCCTGGCCAACCTCTCCTTCACAGACCTCTTCTTTGTCACCAATACAATCCCCAAGATGCTAGTGAGCCTCCAGTCTCAGAACAAAGCCATCTCCTATGCGGGGTGTCTAACACAGCTCTACTTCCTGGTCTCCTTGGTGGCCCTGGACAACCTCATCCTGGCCACAATGGCATATGACCGCTATGTGGCCATCTGCCGCCCCCTCCACTACACCACGGCCATGAGCCCTGGGCTCTGTGTTTTGCTCCTCACCTTGTGTTGGGCACTTTCTGTCCTCTATGGCCTCACCCATACCCTCCTCATGACCAGGGTGACATTTTGTGGTTCCCAGAAGATCCACTACATCTTCTGTGAGATGTACGTCCTGCTGAGGCTTGCATGTTCCAACACCCAAGTCAGTCACACAGCGCTGATTGCTACAGGTTGCTTTATCTTCCTCACCCCCTTAGGGTTCATGATCATGTCCTATGCCCGAATTGTCAAAGCCATCCTCCGAATACCCTCAGCCACTGGGAAGTACAAAGCTTTCTCCACCTGTGCCTCCCATTTGGCTGTGGTGTCCCTCTTCTATGGGACACTTGGTATGGTATATCTGCAGCCCCTCCAAACGTACTCCATGAAGGACTCAGTAGCCACAGTGATGTATGCTGTGGTGACCCCCATGATGAACCCTTTCATCTACAGCCTGAGGAACAAGGACATGCATGGGGCTCTGGGAAGACTGCTCCTAGGGAAACCCCTCCAGAGGTTGCTCTGAGATAATTTTGGGTATCGAATTGGAGACTGAGAGTTTCCTCTACCATGTGCAAGGCATTATCCTATGGGAGACAGGAGAGTGATTAGCTCAGAATGGGCTTATATTATATCTGTGATGAAGAAAAGACACCTCTATGTAACCCAGTGTCCCCCAGACCTTGCCAGCCTTGGCAATGCTAACACTAATACTAGAATTTTACAGGATCATTCTTTCAACTTTCCTGATCATAAGACCACAGGGCCACCATCCCAGCCTTTCAAAATATGCCAAGTTATGGCCCGGGGAGGGGTGGGTCTCTGGTGTTCTCTAGCACACATCCACTCATGGTCCTGAGTTCTGGGGGAAGACCCTAGCCCTGGGCAGCCCATCCTTCATTACCGTGGCTCCTCACTCCATTGCCCCGTCTCTTCTGTTTGCTACCACTCAATCCTTCACTCAACACAAAACTCCCCAGCTTCTCAACACAAGCTCATGAATAGGAATGGTTGTGGAGGCAGCAGAAGGCAGGAGGTAACAGTGAGACTCAATCTCTACTTAGGTTCAGCCAGCCACGTAAAATGCGATGAATAGAAACTGAATAGCACCGGACAAGGTTAGTCACTGGGCTGTGGCAGTTCCAAAGAGGGAGCAATCCTTCGCCGATCATCAGTGGAGCCAGACTAGACTTTGACCGATGGAGAATTGAATTGATCTGAGGTTCAATTCAAGTAATTGATAATGACTGGGTGCCTATTAAGGGCCCCAATCTAGGGTACAAACATGAATCAGGAGCTCACAATAGACAGGGAAGAAGAGTGTTTTAAGGCAATGTCTGAAGGCAGTGGTTATGCTCTGGGCAGGAGGGTTAGGGGGCACAAAGGAGGAAAGCCTAGCTTGGCTTGTTAGTGAGGGAGGATTCAGGGAAGGCTTCCTTAGGGTGGTGACAGCTGAGCTGAGACTTAAGCAACACCATGCCACATGAAGAGTTACCCAGGAAAAGTGGCAGGGCAAAGTAAGATCACTGTGAGAGAGGAGGGACATGGTGTGGAGGGGAGTCTTCCTATCTGCAGTAGCCAGCCAACGTTCTCGTCCTAGCCCGTGTGTGGTCCCTTGTGTGGTCATGGTCGTCCCTGGCTAGGCCTTGTGTTCTCATCTGAACGTTGAGTACAATAACATCATGTCACTCAGAGGGTAGCTGTGAGGATTACATGAAATAGTCATTGGCCCATAGTTGTTGTGGTTGTTATTAAGCAGAAACAGATGGACAAAGACAAAGAGGCAGGAAAAAGCCTGGTAGGTGAGGGTGTGACCCAACTGAGAGTACCTGGTGAGACAAGCAGCAACCTGTGGTGAAGCTGAGGGAGTAGGTGGGAGGGATTTCAAATGGCCTCCAACGTCTTATAGAGGGGCTCGAAATAGAGTCTGTAGACAATGAGGTACTACAGGATGTCTATTAATTTTAACTTTCATTGTTTTTAGTAAACCAACAATGTGCATTTCCTGCAGAAATACTAAAATAAAAATAAACCCCAAATACTTACCTGTCTGTCTGCTACCCAAAGACAACTATTTGATATAAATTCTAAAACATTTGGTATAAATTCCAAACTTTGATCTCTGCTCAATACATCTATATTTCAGAATGAATTCAAATTGTTTTGCAACTTGCTTTTTCACTTAATAATGCCTTTCTATGTTAGTAAATATTCGGCTGCATTGCAACTTAAGGCCTATACAGTATTTCAGTGTGCAATTTAATGAATATAGCAGAATTCATTTAACACACTGTTTCAATATTTAGTTGCGTTCAGTTTTCCTATTGTTTGCAACTTGGCAATACCATCTCCGTGTGCGTCTCTGTTATTGTTTCCTCAGGGGAAACTGGTGAAATGGAATTGCGGGGCCAAATGTTTTTATTGTTCAGAGCCTTTGATACATTTCCTGAAACATCCTCCACAAAGTTTATAATATCCTAGACTTTAATTGGAGGGGCCAAGAGATCCTATTTTTGTTTTGTTTGTGTTTATTGACCTTGAGGGATGGAAGGAGAGGAAGCTCCAGAACTTTTAAGTGCAACAGGCAAAAGCAAAAGCAACTTTGTGCTTCTTTAGCAACATTGTTCTACAAAGGTGGGACAGGGTTTCTGGTGAGCTCAGCTTCTGATCTGTTACTCTCCCGGAAGCTGTGCCCATGAGATAAAAGCCTCCCCCTCTTTCACCAACAAAGGAAAGCACTAGAAGGCAGGCCCTGGACACAGCAAGGCTGTGCTGCAGTAGGGTATTACTCCCTGCTGGTAGGATGGTGTCCCTCAGGAGCCAAGTTCTGCTCCACAATGAGTCACTTCTTCCTCAGTCATCCAGAAGAGATGACAGCCAGACCATGGGAGTATCTCCCTTGGACACACTTGGACACAGGAGGTAGAAGGAGGGGTAATGACAGCTCATATCTCTGTTTTCTTCTTTGTCCTCTTCATCCCAATAAATATATTTTATTTAAAATCCTGAGTGTTAATGTGGCTTAACTTGGCCTTTTGAGCTGTGGCAGATTGTGAGAAATGGTTGTTACTCCAGGACATTTAGGCATTTTCCCCATAGCCTAGTAAAAACTTCTGGGACATAAGCTCTGATTATACAGTAGTCGCCCCTTAAGTGTGGTTTTGCTTTCTGTGGTTTTGGTTATCTGTGGTCAACCACAGTCAGGAAGCAGATGGTCCTCCTGACACATCCTCAGAACATCAAAAGTATCCTGATGCTACAGGATACTTTTGCCTATGCTACTCATCTCACTTCCTCTCCTCATGTAGGCAGTTTATCATCCTCACATCACCACAAAAGGAGCTAAGATATTTTAAGAGAGGGAAAGAACACATTCACACAATTTCTATTACAGTTCATTGTTATAATTGTTTTATCTTCTTATTGCTCTTAATCTCTTGCTGTACCTACTTTATAAATTATACTTTGTCCTAGGTATGTATGTGGAAAAAACATAGTATATATAGGGTTCAGTACTATCCTGTGGTTTCAGGCACATTGTTAATGAGGGTTAGCCTATTTCCTATTGTGTGTTACTTCTAGAATGTAGCATGTTGGAAGTCCCAACTGAAAACCTGGAGTGCTTCCCTCTGTCAGGACTCTGCCTCCACGTTTTGTCTCTCTGGCTCCATAAGCCTGCTAAAGCTTGGCTCACGGCTCAGCCCCTCAGCCGCACCTTCTGCTCCCAGCCTCTCAGCCCCGGTCTTAGAATCAACAAATGGCTTGTGGGGAAAGCAGGGAAATTGTCAGCAGTGTCTCTCTGGGATTCTTTTTTTCCCTGCGTTTTGGCCCTTCAGTTCATTTGGTAGCTTTTTGATGCTTCTCAGACTTCTCGGGGCAAAGATGTTTCTTGGCTTGACCAGGAGTGTTGACACAAAATGAACAAACCTTTTCGAGTTTATTTAAAAAAAAAACAAAAAAAGGTGGAGAGTTTTATTAGAGCCCAAGTGAGGAGAGCTGCCTGGGATACACAATCTTCACAAAGAAGAGAGTGCTCTGGAGAAGGAATGTTTACTCCAGGATCATTTGTTTTTGTTACATCAAGAGTTACAAATCATCATGATGAAGGATATTTCAGAAAATTACAGACTTTATCTTATGCTTTTAGTACGTGCAAGAGTGCAGGCTTTGGAGGTGTGGGAACAGAACTCTGGGAGATTTTTACTCTCATCTTGTGTTTGAAATGTTTCTTTTAAGTTATTTGCTAATGAAACCGATGTACAATGTGTGCTCAGGGCAGAAAGAGCTTGTGCTTTGAAGTTTGGTGACGTCATTGTGACCTTGGTAAAGTGTATCTTTCTTGGGAGCCCAGGTGCAGGGCCCACAAACATTAAAAGTTGAAAGCTTCCTTTATGAGGAGCAAGTCTAGAGTGGCTCTTCTCAGCCACAGTTCCAAAGGGAATTGAGTTCTAATAACCTAAGGTATCCATTCTATGTAGTGAGTTAGCTTCTGTCCTGTGCATCTAGAATGTTGCTAGCTGTGGAGCCTTGGGAGAATTGAGAAAATTGTCATTCAGATAATTTTGTATAGGGCTTAATTCTATCATGGAAACCCAGTTGTGAAATGCTAGTATTGTTACAGGATTGCAGGGTTCTTGTATCACGGAGTCAAAAAATGAATCTCACGGACACAAAACGGTGAAGTGAAATGACAGTTTATTAAGTGAAGGTTGAGACCAGAAAGCAAAGAAGAAGCTCTCTAGAGTGAGAGGGGTCCTGAATGGGTTGCCACTGAAGGTTTTTAGTGGCAGTCTTTTATAGAGAACTGACTGAGAAGCTTGTGGCCTTGAGATTCTTGTGCCCTCTTGGTTTGAGCAAAGACTATTGATAACACCCTTAATGACTTAATTCTTCGAGGTTTGGTTATTTTCTGGGATTACACCATAGCCGCCAAAGAAAAATACTCCCTGACATTCAGGGCCAGGTGGTCTGGTCTATTCTCTTATCTCTTGTTCACTCTGTCTTAGCACTTTTGCCAGTCAGGACTAGTTTCAGAGCCCAGCCAGGGGCCCCCTACCTCTCCCTGCCTAGACCTTAACCCTTTCCTTACTCACTATAAAGAATTGTATGAAACTAGCTTAGGCCACATGCCCACATAGAACCATCACTGCGGCCAGGCCAGTGACATATGCAAATGCCTCAGGTGGAACCACATGCCCAGGAACCACCCAGATGCCAAATAGGAACTAATAGCTGTTAGAAAAGGGGAAATAGAAGTCAGAAAGACCATAAATGTTCACTACAAGCAATTATCAGGTAAAATAAAATGTAGACTTCTGGCTTCCTCTCTGAATTGGAAGTCATTACTCTCATCCTCAAAATAAAAAAAAAAGATGAAGAATCAAAACAACAACTCTTTTAGATCTATCAAATAATTGAGGTCACATAAATAAGAATTTAACCTTTGCTGTTGAAAGCCATTGAGATTTTAGGGGCTGTTTGTTAGCACAGTGTAACCTAGCCTATCTTACCTGATATAGATGGAAAAAATCTTTTCCACTCAATGTGAGACACAAAATCATAAAGCATTATAAAGAAGGATTGTCAATCGGAAAATAAAGAGCCACAGCGAGAGGCAAATGAGCATTTATTTAGGATTAAAGAATTGCAATTCAGAGAGCATGGATTCTGGTAGACACCCAAACGGTGCCCCGCTTATGGGATGAAAGCAAGGGGCTTTTTATGAGGAAAAGGAAGGGGCAATTACATGAGTTGGAGAAGAAAAGTTTTCTATGGGGAGGAAAAAGGGTGTCTTTGAAACATGGAGAGGTAGGGATTTATTGACACCTGCACACTTAAAGGTCATGCTTCTCCATGTGTCATATGTGTAATTAGCATGTTAAATATCCACCCCTGGGCACGATTTTTAGTATTATAATGAGAGAGAAAGTGGGGGAAAGTCATCTTTGGGGTCCATCTTGGCACAGACTGGTTTGGTCCCATCCTTGCTGGTCTTTGTCTTTGAGTCCCTCCTTTGGTAGATATCCTGCTTCTGCGTTCCTTCAAGATATGCTATTCAAGGGGCACAGAGTTTCAGCTATCAAGGAATGCTGGATTTTGCAGTTAGGGCTGAGAGGACCAGAGTCCGGTCCCTGCTCTGTCTCACCAAGGTCTGGAGATCTTTGATGCGTAATAGGTAAGACTAGTTGGGGCAGTGTGAAATGCTCATCGGGTAGATGGAGTAGTAGAAGTAGTGGTGATAATGTTCTCAAAATGTTTTCTGGGTTCAGCCCTAGGAAAAAGTTCATCCAGCCTATTGTAATCAAGGGTCATTTAATGTGAAGAGCTGTGGAGATTATCTTGTCCCAGCTCTTTATGGTATAGGTAGAAACAAACCCAACCATAGAAAGGAATGTGGTTATAGCCCACATTCCTGATTTTTACTCATAAGAACTTTGCCCTTTGAGGGAAGTTCATTTTCTATAACCCTGAGGTGTCCGGAGACCCAAGAATATCAGGAAAGAGACATACATCATGTCTGCTCCTTAGACCGTATTGGCAGGCACCGTCCCCAAAGGCAGGGGGCTGACAACTTGGGTGGGTCAGTGGTGAGCACACAGGTCCACCCTCCTTTTCCCCTATCAGCTCAACTCTCTGTTCTCGAGGGATTGGCTCCTAGCCAGAGGAAGCAGAAGAGAGTACCTAGACTACTTTTCATTATTATACTTTCAGCAAAACTTAATTTTTTTTCCTAGTTAGAAGGAAGCAGGGTTGGGGGGAGCCCAACAATAACATCAAAGGTGCTGATATTACAAGGCCACATGCTGATGGGAAGTGATTCCATAGTATGAATTTTATTCTCATCTCCCATCATCATTCATTCTTCATTTTCTCCATATTCATCTTCAAGCTCAACATTCCTGAGGCATCTCGTTCGATAATCCCAATTCTCCCATCCTCTCTCATCTCCTGTTCTCCTGTGTCCTTTCCCTAATTTCTATCTTTCCTTCTTACCCCTTCTGTTCACCATCCTCTCCCGTCCCTCCCTATACCCTCATGTTATATCTTCATTCCTCCACTCTCATTCCTGTCCTACCTCCCACTCTCCTGTGTTTTCTTCCCATCCTCCTCTCAACCTGGCCTCTGTTCTGTGACTCCAAGAAGAGATTATAGGGAAGCCAAGCTCCTGGTGTAGCCATAGGACAGATTTAGGAATGATACAGTGGAGGGGTAGTGGGATTGCCAGGACAGGGTAAGTAGCCTTCCAAGGGAAGCTGGAGAAAAGATGCAAATCAGAAATGGATGAGCTGAGGCTGGATAAACATCAAGGTGAGAAAATTCTCGGGATTGGAGTTGTATTGATGTATTTATAAAGTTAGAAAGAGGCATCGCTCCCAGAAACTTCATTTATGGGCATTTTCTGAGCTAGGAGATTTGGGAGGGAAAAAATAAGACTTTGAAGGAAAAGGTTATATTGTACATTCCTCACTGAAAAAAATCAAAGGACCTGGTTGAAGTATAAATGCTTATTCTTCCAAAGCCTTTATCATATATGTGAAAAAGAGGATTTATCCAATAGCAAAGACATGGCCGGGGTGGAGATGGAACATTCTTTTTTTGACATGAAGATATATCATGTATACATTAATGTAGTTTTAATTTAGTGATCTATTTCTCTCTATAGCCCCTGTCTGTCCACTAAACATCCTATTGGGTTCTGGTGTGATAGTGAAGAGAAGGAATTGATTTTTTTTTTGGATGTGAAAGGTGAAGTGTAGAATAGAATAAACTTGGCACTGGGCCAATGGTTTAAAATGGTTTTCTGCACTCTGATCTAGATGGAATCTTATGCCCCACCAGAAAGAAACTTCACAGTGATATTCTTTGTTACTTAGGTTAATGGGTTACCTATTAGCCAAATCGCCCCTCCCTGTAGGTCATTGCTGTCCGGAACCACCCAGCTTCTAGGGCTTCAACCTTACCCAGAAAAATGAGCACAGCCATACACGAGGCAGCGATTTCCCCACAGCACTTGCTCATATCCCGCTATCTTATTTGTTTCTCTTTATAGCTTTTATCGCTGTGATATTCCACATATGATGCTCATTTATGTATTTTGTCTTTCTTAACTAGAATGTGTTTCACATAAGTCCAGAGACTTCTATTTTGTTCCCTAGTCCCCTAGGAGGGTGTCTGGATCATAGAAGCAATTTAATAAATATTTGCTGTGTGAATCAATTATGTAGGCCTTCTTTGCAGGATAAATTCATCACACAA